GAGCTTTCCACAGGATTCAAAATCATTCAATTCGGAGCTGAATTGGATTTTACATAAATTATCCAAAATGGGTCAAGCGCACCAGGCCGGCCCAATAGACATGCTTCAGTAATTTAAGTTTCCTTAATTCATTAGACCTTCGAAAATAGTAGAAACAATGGCGTTTTAAAGCTAGCTCAAAAGGCTTTCAAAGGAGACCAAAATTTCTTAATTTGGATAAGTATTCAAAATACTGTACGTGTTTGAAGTTCATGGATCTTTATTGAAGCCAACTTATGATGTGTTTCATGGACTAGTTGAGCCCAAACCTCGATTAAGATTAGGGTTAGGGTTATTTATATAAGAGAGGCACATCACATGAAAAATAACACACAAGGACTACGCAGCCACCACACAACCGCCTCTCATCTTCTGCAATTTATATTCAAGTTTGTTTACTCTTCTGTCATTATTTTTAAATTCTTGTTTTGATTTTAATTATGTTTCTTCTATTGCGTTTTCAACTTTCCATGGATAGCTAAATCTTTGTATTGATTTTCTGAGAAGAATGCAAGTAGATCTTTGAGGTTTTGTTCTTCAATTTCATTTTGTTTGTTCTCTTAACTCTTCATCTTCTAATCTCAGTGTTGAATTATAATTTGTTTATGCTTAATAAACCGAAACTAATATCACAGTTTGCTTAATTCTGTGTTAGAGATGAGATTATGTGATGTATGCAATGCTTAATTGTATAAGGATAATTTGGGGTTAATCTTCGCTTAGTTGGTTAATTTCATGTTGGAATAAGGGTTAAGGAAAATTTGGGATTAATCTTCGCTTAGTTGGTTAATTTTGAATTGGAACAAGGATTAAAGCTAATTTGAGATTAATTTTTGCTTAGTTGATTAATTTCGAATTAGAATATAATTTGGGATTTATCTTCGCCTAGTTGGTTAATTTCGAATTAATTTCGTAATCTAGGATAAGTGACACTGCATTAGAATCAGGAAATCAATTGCATTTTAATCTGTTTTTAATCCGCATTTTTATAATCTGCTTTTGTTCTGTTTCATCTAATATTTTAATTTTGAAAAACTCCCTTTCTTTTTTTTTGTTACTGTTCTAAATTTAAAAATTGATAAGCTTTGATAGAAATTTTTCGGTCTTTGGGAGACGACCTAGGAAAGTTTCCTAGTACTACATTTATCTGTTTTAATTATTTGACCAAGTACGACATCGCTCAAATTTGGCGCCGTTCTTGAGGACCAAGATTTTTGTCTAGGTTTTTCAATTTTTATTTTTTGTTTATGTTTTCGTTTTATTGTTTTTATTTTATTTTATTTGAATATTTTATTTGATTTTTAGTTATTTTAATATTTTATTTGATTTTTAGTTATTTAAATATTTTATTTGATTTTAAGTTGTTTAATATTTGATTTTCAATTATTTGAATATTTTATTTGATTTTCAGTTATTTTAATATTTTATTTGATTTTTAGTTATTTAAATATTTTATTTGATTTTAAGTTGTTTAATATTTGATTTTCAATTATTAGAATATTTTATTTGATTTGCTTGTTATTTTGATATTTTATTTCAATTTTAGTTATTTAAATTTTTTATTTGATTTTCAGTTATTTGAATATTTTATTTGATTTTCAGTTATTTGAATATTTTATTTGATTTGCTTGTTATTTGGATATTTTATTTGATTTTTAGTTATTTAAATATTTTATTTGATTTTCAATTATTTGAATATTTTATTTGATTTGCTTGTAATTTGGATATTTTATTTGATTTTTAGTTATTTGAATATTTTATTTGATTGCTAGTTTTTAATATTTTATTTGATTGCTAGTTTTTAATATTTTATTTGATTTTCAGTTATTTGAATATTTTATTTTATTTGTTGTTATTTGGATATTTTATTTGATTTTCAGTTAATTGAATATTTTATTTTATTTTCTATTTAATTTAATATTCTTACTTCTCTTAATACTATTTTGATAGCCGATCGTTGTTCTAAAACTCTTTTGGGTTAAAAATAAATAAATAAATAAATATAAATAATAATTCAAAAAAACAATTTCATCTCTAATTTGTTTTTCTAGCTTTATTTAAAAAAATTATAATTTTCATTCTCATAGGAAACTCTGCATATAGCTTGGTAGTGTGAGAATGCATGTCTAGGAGGGTTCTGGCTAGGAAAGACTTGGTACTTAAGTGTGTCCATTAGTGACCCACCTCTCTTTCCTGGGAACCTACCTGGTGTACTTATTCACGGTCTACCGTTGTCATTCTAGTAAATAATTGATTTCTTTTTAGAATTTTTTTTAACTCTTGGGAAATACATGAATTGTTGAATATAGGACATGACTAGGAGAAATCCTGACCTTTTACAACCTTTTGATCCCGAGATACACAAAACCTTTCATAGATTAGTTAACATTTTAGGAATTCATCTCTTGAGTCTGAACCATTAGATAGTCATAGTGAGAGTACTGCACCTAATATACCTTCTTCTAATAATTTCCAAACTAATAACATGGGTGATTAACCTATTGGACCTCGTGAGAGGACTCTCAAGGAGATGGCTGCACCTGATTTCACTTATGCAAATTTATGTATCCAATACCCTGAAGAGGATGTACCATTTGTGCTTAAAACTGGACTAATCCATTTGTTGCCCAAGTTTCATGGTTGTGCAGGTGAGGATCCACACAAGCATCTCAAGGAGTTCCATATAGTCTGCTCCACCATGAAGCCACAAAATGTTCCTGAAGATCACATATACCTGAAGGCTTTTCCTTTCTCTTTGGAGGATCTTGCCAAAGACTGGTTGTACTACTTAGCTCCTGGTTCCATAACGAGCTGGGATGATCTGAAGAGATTCTTTCTAGAGAAAATTTTCCCTGCTTCCAGGACCACTGCCATCAGGAAGGATATATCAGGTATCAGGCAACAGATGGGAGATAGCTTATACGAGTATTGGGAGAGGTTCAAGAGACTTTGTGTAAGTTGCCCTCACCACCAAATATCAGAACAGCTACTGCTACAGTACTTTTATGAGGGGATGAACACAATGGATAGGAGTATGATAGATGCAGCTAGTGGAGGAGCTTTAGGAGATATGACACTTGCTGCTGCTAGAGGTTTAATTGAGAAAATGGCATCCAATTACCAGCAATTTAACATGAGGAGTGATGCCAGAGTCCTTAGAGGTGTACATGATGTGGGTTCATCATATTTAGTGGAGAAGAAGCTAGAAAGTAAGATTGATGCCCTCACCACCCTAGTCTCCCAACTTGCTGCAAATCAGAGACCTGCACCACCTGCAAGGGTTTGTGGAATTTGTACTTCAATTGAGCATCCCACTGATTGCTGCCAATTATTACATGAGTCTACAGGTTCTGGAGCTCCACAAGCTTATGCAGCAAACATTTTCAACAATAAGGCTCCAAACCAACAGAAAAATTCTGACCTCTTCAGCAATAGATACAATCTAGGGTGGAGGAATACCCAAATCTGAGATGGTCCAATCAACAGCACCAACAGTAGCAGAATCCTTTGCCACCACCACCATTTCAGAATTCTGCTGGTCCAAGCAAACCTTATATGCCTCCACCAATGCAACAACAATATCAGAGGCAGCAAAATGAAGCACCAGCTCCTCAACCTTCTTCACCTTCATTAGAGGAATTGGTCAAACAAATGGCTGAGATGAACATATAGTACCAACTAAAAAATGATGCCTCCATTCAGAGTTTAACCAACCAGATTGGTCAACTAGCTACTGCTGTGAATCAATTGCAAAATCAAAATTCAGACAAGCTCCCTGCACAGACTGTGGTTAAGAATGTGAGTGCCATCACATTGAGGTCAGGGAAACAGATTGACATACCCACTGCAACACCTCCACACTCATCTGTGTTAGAATTGCGCAGCGGAATGTTCGCGTGGTCGGACAAAAACCAAGAGGGGGGGTGAATTTGTTTCTTAACAAAAATTAGGTTTTAAAAATTTTCCCCAAATTTTACCAATTAAAATACTGTGTAAACGTAAATAAAATAGAGATAGAGTCTTACACAGGAGATTTATACTGGTTCGGATCAAAAGACCTTACGTCCAGTTGCTAATCACTCAAACAGAGGATTAACACTGTCACTATAATCAAAGTTGTTACAAACAGATAACAATTGAAAATACAAAGTAAAGAAAACACCTCTCTTGAAATCCATAAGAGATGAAGAACAACTTTCCCCAGAGACGGCACAACACACAATCCACTAAGAACTTCACTTAGTGATTCTTATCGCTTCTAGCCCACACCAGGTTCCAAAAGCCCCTTTTTCCTCCAACAAACAGTTCTCTGGCACTCACAACACTTAACTTTTGTTTGAAAAAAGTTGTTCTTATTTTCTGAGTGTCATAGAGAAGCTTAAGTAGAGAAATTAGGGTTTGGGAATTGGGATTTTCGGAACTAGGAGTCTTGGGAATAGGGTTTTCGAAAATAGGGTTGATTTCAAGTTGAAAATCAAAATCTGACTGAAATAATCGACTAAATGAAGTGTTAATCGATTATTATAGAGCCAAAATCAACAGAACCCCAAAACTCTCTATTTTAATCGATTAAAAGACCTGTTAATCGATTAATAGGCCTGTTAAAACAAGTCTTCAACTCTCTAAGTCTTGTGTTCTTGAATCATCATCAAAATCAACAAGCTTCATGTCCATGTACGTTCAACATCAAGTCCTTGAATGTTCAACAATCTCCCCCTTTTTGATGATGACACTACTACAAATAAAGCTTTCAACGTTGGTTGTTGAACCGACGTTGTATCAGGCAACGTTGAAAGTCGTAACTTTCTACGTCGGTTCTAATAATCCGACGTTGAAAGTATGATTTTTTAAATTAATAATTTTTATTTATTTACAACCCCTTTACCCCCTTTTATTTATCTAGAAGTCTCCCCTCTCTTTATATTATATTTTTTAGAAGTTTATTAATTTTTTAAGAGAATTGTCATTGGCGGGATTTGAACCCAGGACTTTAGAGTTGGAAGCTAATACTCCAACCACTAAACTACTAGAATTTTCTAATAATAACTTACAAATAAATTATATTTATATACAAATAAATATATATCCATGTAAATATATAAATATATAAATACAAATATATTTATATATTTTGATATATTTATATAGTTATATATTTATATGTTGGATGTGAGGGCACACTCGAAAGTGAAAGTGTGTGTCGAGTGGGTTTTCAAAATTTGATGCTAAATTTGTGAGCAGATATCTTTATATGAGTTTGTAATTTAATGACAGAATATAATCTTTATAATTTTATTTATATAATGATATAACATAAATTTGGGAAACGCGTTATTTTCTCTCAAGCGAAAAATACCAATTTTCGCTCAAGCGAGACTTGAGTAAGTGAATTTTCGTGAGCTTTAACATATTTTCACTCAAGCAAGAGTCAATCACACTTTCACCCTCGATCGAAAAATACCAATATAATTTATTTGTAAGTTATTATCAAAAAATTATAGTAGTTTAGTGGTTGGGATATTAACTTTCAACCCTAAAATACTTGGGTTCAAATGCTATCAGTTGACAATTCATTAACTTAAGAGAATTTTTGGTCTGAAAATAAAAATAAAAATACTTTCCAAAAAATATATACAAATAAATATATATTTACATGGATATATATTTATTTGTATATAAATATAATTTATTTGTAAGTTATTATCGAGAAAATTCTAGTAGCTTAGTGGTTGGAGTATCGACCTCCAACTTTAAAGTACTTGGGTTCGAATCCTGCCAATGACAATTTTCAAATTTAAGTGAGTTTTTGGGTGAAAAAAAAAAGACTTTCCACGTCGGTTCATATGGGAACCGACGTGGAAAGTGTCAATAAGTAAAAAAAAATTAAAAAAAAAGACTTTCAACGTCGGTTTATATGGGAACCGACGTAGAAAGTACTTTCTACGTCGGTTGACTAAGAACCGACGTAGAATGTGTTTACTATTCAACTTTCAACGTCGGTTCATCTGAGAACCGACGTGGAAAGTACTTTCTACGTCATCTCAGCTATAACCGACGTTAAATGACGACGTAGAAAATATATTTTGTAGTAGTGTGATCAAAATTTTCTTTTAAAGCCTTGTAATAACCTATTTTATCTATCATAATAACAAACACATTAATCATACCAGATAATATTTAAAATCAATCATAGTAGGCTTTAAATATTTCTCCCCCTATTTTGATTATAATCAAAAAGAATTCTTCAATAACAATCATAAGGGCTCCCCCTCAAAATATGCATAATTTGGAGATAACTCCCCCTCAATCAAAGCATTAAAAGAACACCACATTTTATTTCAGAAATGAAAATACATTACAAATAAAAGGCAAATTTAAAATTCTTCACTATCATCACTATGAAAGTGTGCATCAAATCTATTTTCTAAATGACACACTTTATCATCTACATCAGATATACGACGAATTATTTCCTCATGTCGTACTCCAGAAAGAGTGAAGAATGCCTGCATCCTCTGATTCATATCAGATAACATGTCTTCCATAGATTGTCGGGTTTCATGATGAGCAGAGGAAGTTCCAACACTTTGGATTTGATCAGAGGAAAACTCAGCAGCAGGAGGCATATCTTCATCAGAATCTGCATTATCATCACCTTCGTTTGGAACGTCATCCTTGTGAACATAAATATTGTTGACACGCACCATTTGAAGTTGGATTAATGTGCTGTCCAGCATGCGATTTAAGTTATTCGTTCGTACTTTTTGTTCACCTTCGACATTTACTCCTTTGTATTCAAGAATGCGAGAGACAAGGAGGGCATATGGAATTTTGAAGGTGGGATGGCGTTTGGCTTTTAACATAGTCATGGTGACAAGAACGCCCCAATCTAAAGGCTCATTGTTCATTATGGCATGAATAATACGAAGATCAATTGAAGAACATTGAGCATGATTTGTAGCCCGGGGACATAGGATCCAGACAAGTATATGTAAAATCATGCGTTCCTCCTTCTTTAAAGGTCCAGCTAGAAGGAGACGCCCAATCTCCATGGAGGGGTTTCGCAGAAAAGAATGGTAGGCCATGATCTTGTCAAAATCATCTAACTCACCATACACATTAATAGCATCTTCTCTTATAGGAAAATGGGCAACGTTCTCCCAAATATCATCATCAAGAATAATTGTTACCCCCTTTACACGAGAGGTAGCAATTTGATCTCTAAATTTGAACCTAGAGTAAAATACCCTAACTAAGTCAGGATAATACGTACCTTGCATTTGGATGAAAGGGAGAACTCCTTGAATTTCAAGGAGATTAGAAAAGTTGAATCCCCTATTGATGAACTGCTCACCAATAAGGAACTTAGGAGAAATAATACCACGTTCCTTCCAATAGGACAGAAATTCCTGTCAGCCATCTGCATCAGAGATCCATCCTTCTACAGAATTAGGACGGGGATGAGATGAGGGTGCAGATCTTCTTCTAGTGGGAATTTTTGCACGAGAAGATGAGGCCATTGAAGGATTAGAAGAGTAACAAGAAGATTTAAGAGGACAAGTTAAGTGAGAAGAAGGCAAGATTGATAGAATGAGGCAAGAAATCTTTATTTCAAGAGATAGAAGTGAGTAGAAGTGAAATGGAGGTCCCTATTTATAACCATGCATCTCCAACGGACATATGAAAGTGAATAAGGGTCAAAAGAGTCGTTGGCAACGGCTAGGAATCCAAACTTGCCAGGTTTAATCGATTAAAACTCAAATTAATCGATTAAACCAGTGCCAGACCCATTTAATCGATTAATTTGAGCTGTTAATCGATTAATACTGATTTTAATTGATTAATAGGCGAATTAATCGATTAATCCAGAGAGGAATGTCATGTTTTGGGTGTTTTGGATGCAAGTAATCAATTATAACTCCAATTAATTGATTATTCCAGAGAGTACAGCAAAATTTTGAGGTTTATACACATGATAATCTATTAACATCCTGTATAATGAATTATATCCTTATAATCATCCAAAAACTGTCTAATTAAGCAGAATTTAAGCTATTTCTAATATCCCTAAGTCTCTTCTAAGATCATTGAATCTATCCTTGGGTAGAGGCTTAGTAAAAATGTCTGCTAATTGATGCTTTGTATCAACGTACTCTATTTTATAGTTTCCTTTGCTGATATGATCTCTCAAAAAGTGATGTCTAATCTCTATATGCTTAGTCCTATAGTGCATTACTGGATTCTTAGTAAGATTGATTGCACTCGTATTATCACACATCAAAGGTATGTCATTCAGAAATATACTATAATCTTCTAGCTGTTGTTTCATCCACAGAATTTGAGCACAACAATTACCAGCTGCAATATATTCAGCTTCAGTGGTAGATAAAGCAACACATGCCTGTTTCTTAGAATGCCAAGATACTAAGGATGAACCTAACAAATGACATGTCCCACTAGTACTCTTTCTATGAATTTTGCATCCACCATAATCAGCATCAGAATATCCTATTAAACTAGTACAAGCATTAGATGGATACCATAAACCAAAACCAGTAGTTCCTTTTAAATATTTTAAAATATGTTTTACTACAATTAGGTGAGATTCTTTTGGACAAGCCTGAAATCTAGCACACACACAGACAGAATGCATAATATCAGGTCTACTTGCAGTTAAGTATAACAGTGAACCTATCATACCTCTATACATAGATTGATTAACTTCCAAACCTGATTCATCCTTGTCTAGATAGCATGAAGTTCTCATGGGTGTGTTAGCTTCCTTTGAGGTGTCCATTCCAAACTTTTTAAGGATCTCTTTACAGTATTTGGTTTGAGAGATGAAAATGACATCTTTAAGTTGCTTGATTTGAAGTCCAAGAAAGAATGTCAATTCTCCCATGATAGACATTTCAAACTCTCCCTGCATTATCTTAGCAAATTCTACACATAACGAATTATCAGTTGATCCAAAAATAATATCATCAACATATACCTGGACCAATAAGATATGTTCTTTTACTTTCTTTATAAATAGTGTAGAATCAATTTTTCCTCTAGAAAAATCATTTGAAGTTAGGAAACTACTTAGCCTTTCATACCAAGACCTAGGAGCTTGTTTCAACCCATATAATGCTTTCTTTAATTTAAAAATATGATTAGGATAACTAAAATCTTCACATCCAGGGGGTTGCTCCACATAAACTTCTTCTTTAATAAAACCATTCAAAAATGCACTCTTAACATCCATTTGATATAATTTAAATTTCATCAAAGATGCATAAGAAAGAAGTAGGCGTATAGCCTCTAACCTGGTAACAGGAGCATAAGTTTCATCATAATCTATACCTTCCTCCTGACAATAGCCTTTGGCAACAAGTCTGGCAACAAGTTTATTTCTAAACACCCATTTGGTTCCAATAACTTGATGTGATTCTTCTCTTGGGATTAATTCCCAGACTTGATTCCTTTCAAATTGGTTAAGTTCTTTTTGCATTGTTATGCACCATTGGTCATCTTTAAGCGCTTCCTCAACATTTTTGGGTTCTATCTGTGACACAAAAGCTACAGACATGCAGAAATTAGTCATATTTCTAGTTCTTACCCCTTTTGAGATATCACCAATGATATTGTCCATTGAGAGTCCTCTTGGTGATTGCCATTCTTTTGCTAATTCAGGTGTTTGAGAAGGCTCATTTTCTTCCAAATACAATTCATCAAGAGCCTCTCTTATATATTCATCATCACCTGCAAGTTCTTTATTTGACTTAAGAGGATTTCCCCCAAGGTCTACAATCTCATCAAAAGTAACATGAATAGATTCTTCAATATTTAAGGTTCTTCTATTAAACACCCTGTAAGCCTTGCTAGTTAACGAATAACCTAAGAAAATGCCCTCATCGGCTTTTGAGTCAAATTTTCCTAAGTTGTCCTTTCCATTATTTAACACAAAGCACTTACATCCAAATATTTTCAAATGAGCAACATTAGGCTTTCTACCATTTAATAATTCATAGGGAGTTGATTTTATAAT